AGCAGTGCACTATGCCCGTTTCGGGAACAAAAGAATCTTATGTAACACCGCACAATCTGGGCTCTTTTTCCAAGGCAGCAGGCCTGGCTGAAATATTCAGGAGTCAATGAAGGTTACCTGTCAGCTTTAGAGTAGTGCCCAAAGAGTCCTTCATTTGGATATAAACAGCCATTAAATGAAAAGATGAATTTTTAAAGAATTTTGAAAACGAAAAAATCTTAAAAAGGACCCAGCATCTTGTCTTGCTCAAGAAAAATCCACCCGGCAGCAAGAGGTTAAAAACATCAGAAATTTTATATGCCAGCTGTCCATGCATTTTTGATATTGCGAATGAAGAATAATAGCTTCTCATGTTTCAAGGTACAGTCCATCATTTGTCTGATCCTTTATGCATTGTGTTCCTTTTGAGGCAAAACAATTACTCAAAATCCGTTCTCACATTAACTCAAATGCAGCTATGCAATATCACACACTGAACCAACGAATTACTGACATGCGGCTTTGTCGTCTGAAGGCTTGTGCATTTTCATCGACAATTTTCCAAAAATGTGTCTTCAGATGCATTGTCTGAAATCGCCTTCTTTCATTGTTTCCTTCAAAATGACAGCTTACCAGAAAGAGTAATTTCACAGGGAGTTAGTTCCATTGCCATCAGTCAACCAAGAACATGTATGTCTTTCAACACGATTTATTTCATCAGTTACTTTTTGGGCTAACTGCAAATGATGGACTGTACCTTTAACACTCCACCCGCAGCCAGGCAGAAGTTTTCATGCACATATATAACTTTTCTCTATTATGTGCCCACTTGGCTTTGTTCACAAGATGGCCATTTTGGATTGTGTTCCCTGAATCCACTTCATTATCATTCACTCTAAAATCAGACGGATCCTGATTATTCTGGTTAAGTTGCAGGTATAACCTCCTTTTTTCTCTCATTTATAAAATCAAGGTGACTTTACTTTGATTAATTGAGGCCAATTAAGATAAAATGTTCATAGTACATGCATGATATAACATATAATATGATTTGCATAAGAATGGACATTGGTTGATGTTACAGTATCTCCAAGGGTTCTCGTGATTTATAGGTTAAGTCTTCAAATAAGACAGTTGAAAAGTCAGCACAAATCAACTTAAAGAAACCTGAAGCTTTGCATTGAAACTTGAAAAGATGAATGGCCCAAAGCAAGATTCGTTATGGCTGTATTTTTTGAGAGTAAAGAAGGAATGTCAGGTAAGGAGACAGAAAACCAAGAAATCAGAAATTAGACTAAAATGCACTGTGCAGAACGCCAGATGACAAACTTACATGCAGCTTCCATGGCGATCCTTTTCTATACAGTGGTCTGTTTTAAGGAGTGTTTTGAATAAATTAGCACATTTAATTCGAGAACAAAATGTTTTGGACATACGAGTCACAAAAATTTGTTAAAAATCTGCTTTACATGATAAATCTGACTTTAGCTTAAAAAGGATGATTTTTAACAACAAATTTTGTTGTTATCCATATTGCCATGAATCTTGCTCTTTATTTCAAGTGATTTCATGTAACATAATGCCCTAAAGAGACTCTTGCCATTTTTCTCATCTATGCAGGTGAAAGAACATCAGTGAGCCAAGCAGGGTGAAGTGGCTCCTGTCTACTGTGGTCCTTGGAGGGGCGTCACTTCACAAGATTGGCCAGTGCAAATAGGGTGCTCCTGAGCATAAAGATTATATTTCCCCCCCCCAAAAAAAGTGTCCAGCATTGTCTTAAACACAGTAAAAAGTGGTTTCAGGCTTGCGTTGTAGATATTTTAGTCAAACGAAGAAGGAAATTTTGCAGGACAGCTTTGGTATCGGTATTGTCCCTAGAAAAAGAAGTAATCTTATTTAAGGCTGCAGGGGATCTTTCTGAGAAACCATTCTGCAACTTTACACTCTTCAATGTTTGAAAAGTCTTTTCTCTTGGTTGAATGCATTGAAAATTACCCATGCTTTCCTGGACAACTGAAGGCATTATTTCTGTGATGTCCGGGGAAGACATACATTGTACTTGTACATGTTACTCTTTGCTAGTTTGTGTGCAAACAGGTGTAACATTGAGGCTTTCTTCTGTGATGAAATCATAGTTTTGCTGATGAATATTGAAATAACATTAGCATAAAACCCAAAAGGCAGTAAATTACCCTTCGAAATAGTGAAAGAAAAGCCACAAAATAAGATCACAGAGATGCATATTGAAGATTTGTATTCAAACAAATTGATTGCAGCTACCCTTGAAGTTGGTTTCAAATTCCAATTCATTAAAAAAAAACTCACAAGTATTTTGCATTCTGTGCATTAGATAGACTGATTTGTGCACTCAAAGTTGTAGTTTCAAAGTATCTGTGAAATTGTTTATGACAGCACAAAATCATAATTATGCCTTTTTTACTTTCATATAAGTGGGGATTGTATATAACTCTTTAATTCTTGAGTAAGATAGATAAAAAATGCAGGGTATTTCTCAGACATTTCAATTTTTTTTAAATTGTTTTTTCTCCCAAAATGCAGAAGCAGGCATTGTAAATTCCAAGTCACAAGGAGCTTGAACAAGAGGCTTGTTTCTACAAGATTTTCTCAAAGATGGCCCTGTTTGAAAGCAAGAGGACCTGAAATTTTTATCCTAGCAGAATCTTTCTCAAAGTTAAAAGTTACTTTTCCACTGAATGATTTTTGGGACAGAGACATATATATAATATCAAAATGAATATTTTGAAGCAGTTGGTATAGAAATGCTTATACTTACTTGATTGAGGCATGAATTTATATCAAACTGAAATACATCAAAGTCGGTATTTAGCAATCCATGTCTACCCTCATTGGTATGCTGTCTCTGCTGTGTTTGCATATTCAAATTTTGCTTATTTAAATATATGCAGATTAGTTGTGCCCTCTGACCTTTTTTGAAGTTGCGCAATCCTAACCTTTAAATATAAGTTCCGAAATCTTATTTATCAAGAAGCAATTGGCCTGGTGGTTAGCTAGCTGGCTGCC